AAAAAAAACCAAAAACCAACAACTAAAATCAGTATTCTAAACTGAAATGGAGGAAAACACTGTTTTCCACTTAAGACAGATTAACTTTGGACGAACTAACAAAACTACGTTTTATGAATTTGTAGTCCTCAGCTTATTATCAATAGCCTTGAGAGTTTAAATGGATACAGTCTGAATTCAGTTTGCTTTCAGTGGGTTATTGGCTTTTTTAGATGAGAATACCTGGTAAGGGATTGATTGCCTATTCTTGTATGAAGTACCATTATCTCCCTGATAGCAGAAAACACTTTCTCTAAAGTATTTTAAGATGTGTATAGTCAGAATCTCTTAAGTTCCTGTCTCAGAATTTTCTAAGTTTACCATACTTGGGGTATATTATGTGCTAATATTTTAAGTTTTTGTGGGCTGGTCTAGAGTCTAATCTCTTTTTCTTATTCTATGAGACAGTGTACTCTGAGCTCATGAGGGGATATCTTTATATATTGCTTTATTATTGGAGAAGATGATATTTAGACCATTATACATGAGGACTACTACACTTTACAAATCTAGATCTTACAGCTGTAAAAAGAATGGTTAGTTAAGAATTTGATATGATTTGTGAGAGACTTCTTTTGTTCCAGATTTTTCTGAGTTGATTTTATTACTGGTTTGTAGCTGTCAGATGTTAAATTTGGCATTTTGAAATCCTTCATATAAAATTTTTTTACTATAAATATTTTTACACATAAAAGTTAAGAGTATAATGACTGCACCCACATTGCCATATATCTAACACTTATATAAAAAAGAATTATCAAATTTTGTCATACTTGCTTTACCCATGATTTTTTTTAACTCCTTGTTTTTTCTTTTTTTGGCTCAAAAAATGTTTTCCTCTTTGACCCTAGGTGTACAGTGTTAGATAAATCACAATCCTTAGTTAATTGTACTCATCATTGGCCATTGCGTAGTATCCCTTAATTTATTCATTCAGGTTTTAAATTACTTAATAATGAAAATAAACACCTAGGAATCTGTCACCCCAAACAAAAGGCTAAGTCCTGCTTTGAAACTAACCTGCATCTATAATCACCTCCCCAGTCTCATCCTCTGCCTCCCTCTCCCTTACCTGAAGTAGTTGTCACTCTGAATCCTGTGTTCACTAACATCTTCTTTTGTTTTTATAAGGGATACACAGTAGAATCAAGACTGTTGATACTGGAGATCAAAGTGATATATAATTCACATGCTTTTGCTTCATTGAGTTGATTTACATAATTTGCTAAAAACTATATATTTCTCTTTTAGTTGTTTTAAACTTTATTCCAAGTGTATTGTGTTAAATATATATTAAGTGTATTGTGTTAAGTGTAAATTTTTGGAACTTAATTTTTTCACTTTATATTACTAATATAATGTATGTTGCTGGAGTTCTTTCATATTAATTGTATTGTAATATTCCTCTGTGCAACTATACCACAGTTTTTTTTATCCCCTTTCTTATTAATATGATTTTGGGTTCTTTCCTACTGTAGTATTTTAAAGCAAATCCCAGACATCATGCTACACCAATCTTATATACATCTCTAAAAAATATGAACATTTTCTTACATAATTACAGTGCCATTGTCATTTTAATAAAATTGATAGCAATTCCTTAATATCATCTACTGTTCTGTCAGTTTAAATTTCCTCACTTAAAAAAAAAATTTTTTTTTTTTTTTACATTTGTTGTGTTTGTAATAACTCCAAATAAGGTTCCCATATGACATGACAGTTGATTTTATATCTCTTGAGTCTCTTAGTCTAGAGTACTCTCCCCTTTCCCGACTTTTTTCCTCTATACACTGTTGACTTGTTGAAGAATCATAGTGTATCTTGCTATGGGATATCCCACGTTCAGGATTTGTCTGTTTCCTTCCTCTTAGTGTTCTTTAATTTATTCTGAAATATTGATTAAAATCATTTTTTAACTATTTTTGGCAAGAATATTCCATAAGCTATGTGCTGGGTACTTCATATCATATAGCATCAAAAGGCTCATGATGTCTGTTTGTGGTCTGCCTTTATAAATGCTGAAATTGATCAGTGAGTTCAGGTAGTGACAGTGTAAAGTTTCCCGTTAACCTCTCATTCATTGATGATCATTTCAGAATCAGTTATTTGTTTGGAGATTATAATATGGTGGTTTTTAATTCTGTCTTTTTGTCTATATTTGTTTAACTGGAATTCTGTGAAGAATTTTCCCTCATTAACTGAGGCTGTTTGAATACTTTGAAATGTAGTTAGAGCAGGAATAAATGTTCAGTTATTTTTCAGAATCAGGAGTTGGTGTCCAGTTACCTTCAGTAGTGATTCATGAGTTACAGACTTTTACACAGGGGCATGGCTTTATAATTTTAAATATGTTTGAACTCATGGGTCTTTATGTATTCAATTTGTTTTAGTCAGTTGTAGTTTTTCATTTTGCTTATATTGACCAGCACAAGCCCCTTCATGTTGGCTTTTGAGTCCTTTTTCCATGACCCTGGTAGTCTTAGAGGGCTTCCCTGCTTTTTTTTTTTTTTTAATATTTTATTTACTTATTTATTTGACAGAGAGACAGAGAGAGAGACAGCGAGAGAGGGAACACAAGCAGGGGGAGTGGGAGAGGGAGAAGCAGGCTTCCCGCCGAGCAGAGAGCCCGATGTGGGGCTCGATCCCAGCACCCTGGGATCATGACCTGAGCCGAAGGCAGACGCCTAACGACTAAGCCACCCAGGCGCCCCAAGAGCTTCCCTGCTTTTTGACAGAATAAGATGTATGAGGCTTATCTTATTACATATTTCCTACCCCAGACCTGGAATCAGTCATTCCTCCAAGAGATCCTGGTTCCTTTTAGTGGGGAATGATATTAGAGACCACAATCTGGGCCCAGAGGTATTTACTGCTCTTGGGCTGTTATTGCCTTTAGGCTTTTTTGGTGGATGGTGTTAGGAAATATGTATTTTTGAAAAGAAAAAGATCATCAGTTCATATTGACATTTCAAATTCAGATTGAGGATTGCATACTTAGGTTTTTTTTTTCCTTTTCCTTTTTCTTTCTTTCTTTTTATTTTCCCCTTGGTTTTAAACTTGTATCTCTTCCCTTACACTGAAAGCTTTAGTTCCTAACAGAGTAGTAACTTAATTACACATTTGCTTTGTCCTGATACGGATGTCCATTAATAATAACATTATTAATATATGTCTTATTAACATCTTGGTGTACATTAATAAGAAATGATTTTATGTATCGTAGTAATTTTGTAATACCACTATTACTGCTGGCAGTAAGACCACTAAATAGCATTTAAGATGATTTTTATAGTTCTTTATTGATACTAATGCCATATTTCTAGTAAAGACATACAGTCAAAATACTGTGTTCCAGAGTCACTTAAAATAATTTTTTTCTCTGTGTGGTTATGCCAACAACTTTTGATATACAACTAGGTTAATTTGTTTCAGTTTTCACTTTTTAGGGATTGCATTTCTAACTTCAATTTTTAGAAAAATGTAAAGCATTTACATGATTCCAAAATCAAATTGTATAACTGTATACAGAGAGTTTTCACATCTGTCCTTTACCTCTCTAGGTAATCATTTCTTTTCCATTCCTCATAGGTAGCCACATTTGTTAATTTTGGGTTATTTTCCCAGTGTTTTTAAATCTTTGTAAATAAAGGCAAAATCTACCTATAAATTTATATTTCTCTCCCCTTCTTACACAGAAGTTAGCATACTGTAACTGCTCTTCTGCACTTTTCTTTTTACATTTAATCATTCATGTGTGGATCTGGTGATTTCCCCAATCCTTGTTATGATACATGATATTTCATTGTGTATATCACCTTTTATTCAATTAGTGCCCCGTCAATGGACATTTTGTCTGTGGTCTTTTGCCGTTATAAATAATGCTGCAATGAATAGCTCTGTAAATAAGTAATTTAGTGTTTTTACCAGTGTATTTTGGGATAGATTTTAGGACATGGGATTGGTAGGTTAAGAGTGCATGTGTAGAAATTGTCAGTTCCTTTGTCCCATTTTTCACTCCTGCTGTATTATGTGGGAGTGCCTATTAACAAACTGCCTCTTTACCTGAATGTATTGTGGGGTCTTGGATTTTTGCCAGCCAGATAGCTGGGAAGCTCCATATAGTTTTACTTTGCATTTCTTTTAGTTTGAATTAAGTGAGCATTTCCCCAAATGTTTAAAGGCCATTTTCTTTTCTTTTGTGACTGCTTATAGATTTTTTTTTCTGTCAGGTTGTTGAGATTTTTTTCTTAAAAAAATTAATAGGAGCTCATTATACATTAGGGATAGCCTTTGTGATATATCGCCAGCCCCTTTTTAACTTAGGTGATTTAAAGACTCTCTTAGTGACAAAATGAAATACAGAAGGAAGGAGGCTCTTAATTTCTGAACTATCATGGAAAGACCTAGGCTTTCAGTTCATGGTAGTGTTCATTTTGATATACTTTTAGGAATAGTATTCTTAGTGATAACTATTAAATTGTTCTTAAAATTTACAATGACTTCAGCATTACCTTCTAGTTAATTTGGGAGCACAGAATTCAAGCAGAAAATCTTAGAGATAAATAATCTAGTTTAATGCTGTTTCTAAAACTGACTACTTTTTGAAAAGTAAGAGTATAAATTTCAGATTTTGAGGGATTATCTCAAAACCACTTCTAAGTTTTGTGGGGTAGTTATATCACTTTATTCTTCTTCTTCAGCTCTGGGGTATCTGAAAGGTTGTCTGCCTTGTACTAGAGACTAAGATGACAAGAGTCTGAGTTAGACTGAGAGACTTCAAAAATAACTCATAGGGTATTGCTTTGTAGATCTCAGACATGGCATTCTTCATATGTGAGCAGCTTTTCTTTTTAAAGTCTAGCTTTGTAATGCAGTCCTCAAACAATTAAATGTCTTTTCTGACAAAGTAGTTACTTCTCATGTGATTTCTAATCTAAAAATCAGATATTCTATTTTTCTAGAAGAGCCTAACAAGACATGTGACAGCAGTAACACTAGTGCTCCCACTGCCTCCATCCAGCCTAATCTGGAAAACAGTAACAGCAGCAGTGAACTAGATCCTTCCCAGAGTGAATCTGCTAAGGCAGCTGATGAGCCTGAAAATGGAGAAAGAGAGTCTCACACACCTGTCTCTATTCAAGAAGAGATAGGTAAGAATACACTTCATCCATTAAAGCGAGCTTTTTAATTTTTTAATTTTTAATTTTTTGGATAAAAGTTTGATGGGGTGGGAAGACTTAGATTTTCTTTTCCTCTTTTTTCTCTTTTTTTTTCTTTTTTTTGAACACAAGTAGCACTTGTCATTGTTTTTATTTAAAAAAATGCAAAAGCACACAGGAAAAAATAAATCTTTTTAGTACCCCCTCCCCAAAGGTAACCACGGTCAACGATTTGGTGTGTAACATTTTCTGTCTTTCTCCATGTGGTTACATTAATGTATGTATGTTTACCAAAAGGTTTTTTTTAATTATTATTTTTTTTTTATGTAAATGGAATCATTCTGCATGCATTGTTCTGCATCTTGCTTTTTTTCACTCAGTAATACATATAGGGGATCTTTTCATGATATAAATTGAATTCATTCTTTTTTTTTTTTTTAAACTGCTGCATGGTACTCTACAGTATGGATGAACAGTAATTCATTTACTGTTTCTCTGTTAGTGGACATACAGGCTGTTAACAGTTTTTTTTCTTAATACAAATAGTAGTGCTTTTTTTTTTTTTTTTTTTGACATCCTCAGCATATATCTGTGTACTTACGCAAGTATTTCTGGCAGTATAGGAACAGTAAGTGGAATTGCTGGGTCACATGGTAGGTACATTTTTAAAATAGTGATGACTGCTGCTTAGTTGTACATTAAAAGGGATTTATACCAATAACTTACATATATATGTATTTTTTCATACTCTCACCTAAATTCAATTTCAGTCTCTTTTTTGCTAATGATGAAAAATATTTCATTTAAAAATTTGCATATCTCTGCTTACTAATGTTTTTAGTTTCTCTTTATGTGTTTGTTGAACTTTCAAGTGAATTGCTTATATCTTCTCATTTTTTCCTATTGCGTTTTGATAGTTTTTCTTAATGAGTCGTAGGAATGCTTTATGTATTATGGCTGTTATCTTTGATTTTATGTATATACTTATACAGTCATTGCTTGTTTTAACTCTTCCTGTTATCTTGTTCTATAGAAACTTTTATATTTTTATATAGTTAAATTTACTAATTTTTTTCTTTAGGGTTTGTCTGGATTTTGTGTCTTACTAAGGAAGATCCTATCCCAAGCATATACATGTTTTACAGTAATTTCACATAATACTTGTATAACTTTGTTTTTAATCCTGCTGTATAATTTTGTGTATGGTAGGAGATGGAGATCTGTTTTAATTAGAACTTGTTTTCAGTTGCAAGCTACCAAACCAGCTTAAACTAGCTTAAGTGAAAAGGGAAATTAACTAGCTCATGTAATTGGAAAGTCCAAACCATCATCAGGCATAACTGGACCCCCAGGTATCAAAGCTTTTCTGTCTTCCTCTCTTTCTCTCCACCTTTTGATGTGCATATGTTTGTATGTTAACTTCATTCTCTCCTAATACAGACAGGCTTTTTCCAAGTGGCAGGGAAGATGGCATCAGCGGTTTGTATTCATATCTTTCCAAGGTCTGTGACCCAAAGGCAAGGCCCCTACTCCTGCTCCAAATCAAAAGTCCTTGAGGAAGGAATTTGAGTGGCCTATCTTGGACATATTGTTCCCACCCCTGTGGCCAGGGCAGGCAAGGTATTATAATTGATGGCTCCAGCAAAAGTATATGATTGGAGTGGGGTAGGAATGGTTTTCCAAAGAAAGAGGAATGCTGCAAAGATAGGAAACAAATATCCCCACAGTTACACCTTTTGGTAGCTCAGCACGGACATATTTACTCAAAATCAAAAATGCTTCTGCCTAACACAACGCAAAGATCTCACCCACACCTGAGGATTTTTTCAAAAACTTCCCAAAATTACCTCTGGTAGTTGAACTTTATTTAGAACTTCTGTGTGTTGTATATTATTTTTGATTAGGTCTGGATATAGTTTCTCTCAATCTCACAATCTATGAGCCAAATTATGAATTTAACTGCCTGTCACACTTGTTATCCTGATAGTGGAGGGTGTTCTGGCTGCCCTTGTTTTTTTGGGAGGATGGCTGTGGATGAAACGTGAGAAATATATGGGAAGATCCCCCTTCTGGAGGCCATTCTGCTTTAGCAGCTAGTTCCTGCTGGCTGTTGTCAGGGATGGGTTGTTGGGGATTTGGCAGTAGCACTCCCTCATAAATTGCCTGGGTACCCAGCCGAGTCCCCATTACCCAGAAACTCTTCTCAGAGTCTCTGAAGGTAAAGCCCCTCTACTTGCTCTGTTGGTCTGCTTTGCAGACCCAATTCCCTAGCCTTCATGAATGAAGTCCTGCCTAGGCAGAATTCTGCCTCCTGCCATCCTTAAACAATGAGCTCTAGAGGCTGGGGTAAAGCAGCTCTGTATTCTGCCTCTAGGCTGCATGGCAGTGATTCACTCCTTTATGATAGGAATGTGGCCTTTGGGCAGGGGGTGTTAGATAAGCCTTGTTCCCTTTCTCAGCCCTTTCAAGTTCTTACCCCCAGGGATGAATTTTCTGCCTCCTTTCCCTTATTTTATTAAACTTAGCAAGTGTCAGGGTGCCTGACTGGCTCAGTCGGAAGAGTATGCGACTCTTGATCTCTGGGTCATGAGTTCGAGCCCCACGTTGAGGGTAGAGATTACTTAAATAAATAAACTTAAAAAAACACCTTAGCAAGTGTCAAAGGATTGACTCTCAGCTGTATTGGATCTTTGGCTCTAAATTGAAGGGCTTTTAAAAAGCACTGTGCCTTCCCTTTCTGCTTTTAGGAAGTCCAGCTTAGATAAGATGCTGTCTAAAAAGTCTTTATTGTAGGACCGTATAGATGGCCCCAGGAAGTAGCCACCATAGTTCAGTATCTTGACATAAAACTTCAGCATGGGTAGACTCATGGTCTGGGACCCAAGAGAAAATTGTTGATAGTCTGATTAACTGCTTTGCTGTCACACATTGAAGATTTCTACTTCCCAGCCTGGAATGGAAAAACACCCGGTATCCCTTACCCATCTTGATTCAGTCAGTGCCATATTTTGGGGTCAGAAATCTTAAAATACTCTGGATTATTTAGAATTTTTTGGTTTTAAGTGACAGAAATCCACCAAACTTGCTTAAAATAAAAAGGGAATTTAATTGGGTCATGCAATTGGGAAGTCTAGAGGTAGTAACAGACAGCTTCAGGTGCATTATTGGACCCTGGGCACCAAATGAGGTTATCATGGGTCTTCCTCTTATCCCCACTCCCCCCCCACCCCACCTGCCTCCGTGATGAGCTTATTGTCTCATATTTTTAAAAGTTTTTTCCCATGTTGTGGGATAAAAAGTAGACAGCCTCTAATTTATACTCTTTTTGTTCGCTAACACAAAAAGCAAAACTGGGGCACCTGGGTGGCTCAGTTGGAAGAGCATACGACCCTTGGTCTTGGGGTTGTGAGTTCAAGCCCCATGTTGGGTAGAGATTACTTAAATAATAAATAAACAACTTTAAAAAAAAAGACCCTTTATCCATCTCCAGATTTAAAAAATTAGAGTAGTATGCTGAATGGCTTGGGACAGTCACTGTGGCCAGGTGGTTATGTGCTGTCAGGCTAAGCTGGGTGACGTTGTTCACCCAATATGGTAGGATATATTGATTTATAGCCCTCGCTGAATCATGATTGAAGTGGGGGAAAAGCATCTGCACAAAGGAAAGAAACGGTGTTGGTCAGATAAAATTAAGAAATGTTTCCTGAATTGTCTTTTGTATTTTTCAAAATAGCCAGTTTTCCCAATCTAATTTTTTTCTCTACTCAAAATGCCATCTTTATAATGTATACTATATAGTAAATTTTATGTTTGGCCTTTCATTTGCCAGTGACACACTATTGTTCATGTTAAAGAGCTTAAATTAAACAGAGAGAAATCTTGTTCAACTGTCTGGCCAATGGAAATTGGATAGTGATATGATAGTTTTAAGAATGTAGAGAAATTTTCAGCCAAAGTGAGATTCTTGGCAAAGCAGTAATTGCCCCTTGGTGGTGCAGTCTGTGGCTTTAAAAAATTAAGTTGTTAAGAAAATGTGAGAGGCCTTTATTATAGTGAAAAAACTAATTTAGTTGATTTCACATGTATAATTATTTGCATACACAGATAATTCTAGGTTCCTTAGGTGAAAATTCACTTGGCATTTATGTTTATAAGCTTTACATCATTAGGTATTTAAACAGTTTCAATGGAAATCTTTCTAAAATTAATTATACCCTTTTTGTACATCATCCATATTGAATATATAAGGCAGTGTTTTATTAGTGTGCATTTTGAGTTATGATGTTTGTTGCTTATACATTTGTAGTAGCCCTTCATGTTTTCTAGTACATGAGCTTTGAAACGATAACCTGGCATGTTTGAATTTTCTGTAAAATAATAAGTGACTCACAGTAAAGGTCTTTTAAGTACAACCTTTAAGAATTAATATATTTGCTTTGGCTATTCAAGGACTTTTTGTTTACTTTCTGGATCTTAGATGTGCATCAGATAAGAGTTTTGGATAAGTAAGGTGTTGTTATAAATAACTTACTGTTAGCAATTACTTTTGGCTTTTCATCTGATAACAGGTGATTTCAAATCGGAGAAGTCTAATGGGGAAATAAGTGAGTCTCCTGGAGCCGGAAGAGGGGCATCTGGGTCAACTCGAATTATCACCAGATTACGGAATCCAGACAGCAAACTTAGCCAGCTGAAGAGCCAACAGGTGGCAGCTGCAGCCCATGAAGCAAATAAATTATTTAAGGAGGGCAAAGAGGTATATGTTCCTTCTGTTTAAAACAAAAATCTCTGGAATGTGAAATAATTTTATTTATCCGACCTGAAAAGTAGGGGCAGGAAGTTTGTAGACCTACTTTTGAATTGTATTTTTCTACTTTCAAGAGTGTAGTGGGTAGCAGGTTAAAAGTGGTTAGGTTTATAACACATATAATACATATTTTATACAATAAATATAGTTGTGTACCCAAATTTCACTTCATGTGGGGAAATGCTGTAATTGGGTGGTATACTTTCTTACTATATGGTTAGTTTTATTGTATATAATTCTAAAGAGATAGAGGCTTCTTTTTCACATATGGTAAAGAGTGCACTATTTTTGTGGGCTTTAGTAAAGAGTTATAGGTGATTTAATGCTCAGTTCTAGCTATAATAATTTTTTTAAAGATTTTATTTATTTATTAGAGAGAGCATGAGCAGGGAGGAGAGGGAGAGGGAGAAGCAGACTCCCTGCTGAGCAGGGAAGCCCGACACGGGGCTCCATCCCAGGACCCTGAGATCATAACCTGAGCCAAAGGCAGACGCTTAACCTACTGAGCCACCCAGGCCCCCCCTTTAAAGATTTCTTTATTATTTTAGAGAGAGAAAGAGTATGCACAAAAGAGGGGGGCAGAGGGTAAGGGAGAGAGAACATCTCAAGCAGACTCCCCACTAAGCCAGAAACCCAATGAGGGGCTTGATCTCACAACTCTGAGATCATGACCTGAGCTGAAATCAAGAGTCAGACACTTAACCGACTGAACCACCCAGGTGTCCCTAGTATTTTTATTTTTATTTTATATTTCTTAAGAAGTAATTGCTACACCCAATGTGGGGCTTGAACTCACAACCCACAGATCAAAGAGTCATACACTTTACCGACTGAGCCAGCCAGGCGCCGCAGCTAGGACTTAGTGTTTCTGTTCCCCAGCTGGCCAGGGTGGCAGAATCATGCCACAACTGTGTCTCCCATATTTAAGAATTATTTGCAAGGTAGATATGCAAGAATATATAGTGTTTTTTCCTAAACATCATAGGAATTTCTTTTTTTTTAAAGATTTTTATTTATTTATTTGACACAGAGAGAGATAGCGAGAGCAGGAACACAAGCAGGGGGAGTGGGAGAGGGAGAAGCAGGCTTCCCGCCGAGCAGGGAGCCCGATGTGGGACTTGATCCCAGGACCCTGGCATCATGACCTGAGCCGAAGGCAGACGCTTAATGACTGAGCCACCCAGGCGCCCCATCATAGGAATTTCTTTAAAGCAATAGCTTCTAAGCTGGTTTTTCACTCTGACCCTCAGTATGACATTTTTCATAGTAACCCAGTACACACATTCAGAAATTTCCTGAAATAGTATTTTACCTTACCATGTGGGAAGCACTCTGTTATTTTCTCTTCTAGTCTAGTTGATTGTGTTGTATTTTGTTTTTTTAAAAGTTGAGAAAGATCCACTATTGATCTCACGGTTCACTAAAGGATTGGGATCAGCTGTTTGAAAACATGCTGCTTTTAAAGTATCCATGGGCTGTCATATTAAAGCTGGAATAATAAAAGGAGCAGACAAAAATATATTTTTAGGAATATATTTTTTGGGGAATAGTACATGTAATGCCTTCCTTTTTCCCTACCCTGTATATTATAAGCTTGAAGTAATGATTGGTGAATGAGGTACACATGTGGTTTTGTGTGTATATTTGAGATACTTAAAAATACTTCATAATATCTGACATATAATAGGCACTTAGTAGAGGTTCTTTTTATGGGAAGATCTTGGTTGTTTAATTATAAACAGGTGTAGCTTTTAACTTCACTTACAGATCTCAAACGTTCAGTTGTAAGATATACCTGAACTTTATTTGGAATGATAAATCACAGATTATTGAAAGACAGTTGATCAAGTTTACATATTTGATATGAATAATGAGTCTTTTTATTTTCTTGGTCAGGTACTGGTAGTTAACTCTCAAGGAGAAATTTCACGGTTGAGCACCAAAAAGGAAGTGGTCATGAAAGGAAATATCAACAATTATTTTAAGTTGGGTCAAGAAGGGAAGTATCGTGTCTACCACAATCAGTACTCCACCAATTCATTTGCTTTGAATAAGCACCAGCACAGAGAAGATCATGATAAGAGAAGACATCTTGCACATAAATTCTGTCTGACTCCAGCAGGAGAGTTCAAATGGAATGGTTCTGTCCATGGGTCCAAAGTTCTTACCATATCTACTCTGAGACTGACTATCACCCAACTAGAAAACAATATCCCTTCATCCTTTCTTCATCCAAATTGGGCTTCACACAGGTAAAGGAAACTAAAGTTCATTTATTGTTGTGAATATACTAAATATTTACAAAATGATTATTGCAGGTGCTCACTTGAAACTCATTACCAATGAATTGAATGAAGTCAGTTTAGTTAAGCAAAACACTGAGGACATTAGGGATGTGAGTATACTTCTAAGTTACTGGACCAACATTAGCATTTGGAAGATTTCTGGAAAGCAGAGTCTTCATCCCTGGAGTCAAGAGGAGGCCAAAGTTCCAGAACACTGTAGGAGGTTTAAGGAGTTGGAAGACTAATTAATCTCTGGGATTCCTTCTAGTGTTGAAAATCTATGATTCATGGGTCCTGTCCCTGTGCTTTAATAAAACCACCATTTTGCACACAAAAAAAAATTAAAAAACTATGATTCTGTGAGGTAGGAATTCCCAGTAGCAGTATATTTAAACCTGCTTAGCCTAGAAACATACGCTCTATGAGATGGAGACAGAAATTACAGCTCTTGTGGTTTTAATTTAAGACCAACAAGTAAAATACCTTTTTTCCCCTCCTTCTGAAATACAGGGCAAATTGGATCAAAGCAGTTCAGATGTGTAGCAAACCCAGAGAATTTGCACTGGCTTTAGCGATTTTGGAGTGTGCAGTCAAACCTGTTGTGATGCTACCAATATGGCGAGAATCTTTAGGACACACCAGGTAAGTGAGTTCTGAGCCTTGTAAATGGTATACCATACTCCCTTTTGGAATATTAGCCTATTAATAATGACAGTTAATGTATTTAAAAGGTCATATTACATATTAAATTTAACTCTTCCTGGCCTTGTTTTCCTCCTCTATGAGATGTAACATGAATAAATATTATTTCTTATTTTTTTAAAGTAAAAATTAGCATATATATTGAATAGAAAGAGCACTCACATTTTTTGAATATTCTAGAATGTTTCAGTTACTGTGCTAGGCATCTGATTTACTTAGAATTGAATGTCCAAACATCATTCAGCTCCTAAGTAGACCCAGAGTTGTGTGACTTCAGCAGAAGGTTAAAAAAAATGATAAATTTTGTGACTTGAATCTGCTTTTTAATTCTAGTGGATTTAACTTTATTTAGTCTTTAAAAAGTTATCACTATAAAAACTAACATAAGCTTATGGTAAAAAATATAAATTACTATTCAGAGTGAAAAGAAAGAATCATTTTACCTTCCCTGCCCCTCTACGGAGCCCATTCTGAAGGTATGATACTGTTATTTTGTTAATATAAATATATTTTGTTTTGCTTCCCACATCTGTGTTTTATTTTATAATGAAAAGTTTTTTTAAGAAAAGTAGTTTACACCTCCTAAATTTTCATCTGCTAAGGATTGCTCTCAGTTGTTTTTTGTTTTTGTGTGTGTGTGTGTGTGTGTGTGTTCTCCTTACATAAATCTTATACTTTGTTTTCTCTCTTTTCCACCTCCTGTTTTGAATGTAATTGCTGCTACCAGTAGAGGCTTCCACAAGTGGAATGGATTTAATTCTTCCTGGGATTAAAAAAAGAGGGTTAAGTTCAGGTGCTATAGACTGCATGCTAGGAGAGGAGAGCTGAATGGTGGGCATGCTTTTATTCTACTGCTTATTGATCTCTTTCATCAAGGTAGAGCAAGGAGAGAGTCAGAGGCAATTGTGAAGCAATACTCTGAGTTTCTGTTGCTCCTTCTTGCATTTACCTCCAGACATGCCCAAAACTGTTCTGTCCCAACGTTCTTCTATTCAGTGGTCATCCTGAAGCTAATGTTGGTGGGCCAAGCAGCCATGTCTCTGGTGACAGAGATCAGTACTTCGAGAACTGAAACTTAGCTAAATGTTGTTAAACTCCAGTACTCAAACATAACTTAAAGTGACTAAATCATACCTTTTATAAATTCATTTCTCAATTTTAAACATTCCAGTGGAAGGTGGAATTCAACTTTTTTTTTTAATTGAGTTTGGTTTTTTTTCTTCCTGGTTTGTCATTATGACTAGCCTTCTAAACATGTTACTTAGAGTTATAAAATTATATCATGAATTGTATTTGTATTAGTATGACACATCTAGTAATATATATGAAAGAACTCTTTTTTAATATGAGGTAAAGTAGAATGCTCTGAATTTTTTAAAAAATTAGAGACTGAGATTCAGAAAAATTAGAGATTAATAATAGGACTCTAACTTCTCTCAATACTATGGTCAAAAACTTCCAGGTGACAAACTTCTCTAAGACTTGACCCTAAGGAACTGTTTACAAATTCAGCCAATGATTTTATTCATTAAATGATTATTTATTATGATAGTCAATAATAAAGCTTTGAGAGCCTTCTAAATATCTAACAATTGCAGAACATTTTAAAAATAGTAAATTAAGATTTTTTTGAGAAAATTATAAAGTCTTTGTTGAAAAACAACATTAGGTATGGAAGAATACCTAAATGAATAGAAGTATATTTCATGTTCATGTATAGGAATACTCAGTGTCTTAAATTTTTCTCATGTTATTACATAATTACATAATTATGTAATTATTAATTCCAATAGCATGAATAATTATCATTGGGCTTTCTGTGGAATTTGACAAGATTAAAAATTTTATATGGAAAGGGCAACAGTAGGGTTTACATCTAAAGGACAGGGTAGAGGGATGCCTGGGTGGCTCTGTCAGTTAAGCGTCTGCCTTCGGCTCAGGTCATGAACCCAGAGTCCTGGGATCGAGTCCTGAGTCAGGCTTCCTGCTCGGAGGGAAGTCTGCTCTTCCCTCCGCCTGCCGCTCCCCTTGCTTGTGCTCTATCTCTATCTCTCTCTCTCTCTGACAAATAAATAAAATATTAAAAAAAAAAAAAAAAGAAAGGGCAGGGTAGAAAGACTTGTCCTACCAGATAACAAAACTTACTTGGTAGCTATAATAATACTGTGGTATAGATGCAAAGATAAATAAACCAGTGGTACAGAATAAACCATCCAGAAAGAGACCAGCCCATATATAGACATGTAATAGATGATAGAGTAGCATTTTAAAAAGATTGAACTCTTCAGTAGCAGGTGTGATGAGGCAATTTGAGTTATCTATATGGGGAAAATTGGATCCCATTCTTCTTATCATACACAGTAGTCAGTTCCAGGTAGAATAAATCCTAAATGTGAAAAGCAAAACTCCCAGGAAGAAAATATAAGAGATTATGATTTTGGAATGAAGAAAGTTCCCTCCTTCCCTCCCTTCCTGTCTCCTCTGCTTCCTTCCCTTCTTCCTTCTATTTCATTTCCCTTTTCCCCTTGCCTCTCCTTCCCATATTTTTTCCTTCTCCCTCCCCTCCTCCCATACTTCATTCCTTTTCTCTTACTCTTGATTGTTTTTTACCTTCCTGATTCATTATGTTTCAGAACATACCAAAGTGTGGCATTATTTCTCCCGTTTATAAGCTGTTATCCATCAGATAAGAATGAGTGTGCATATATGTGTCTGTCTGCTGTTACTACAGGTGACTTTCCTTTTTCATGTTTAATATTATGACACATACATAAGATTGTAATATATAAGCAAGAATGGGTCATAATAAAATAACACTTGTGAATGCATCAACCAGTTTAAAAAATAAGAACATTATCATTATTGCATCTACTCTGCATTCACATGACCTTGCCTCCCCTGAGAGATAACCGTAATTTTTAAGTTTGTGTTTTGTTATACCCATTCTTTGACTATGTAGTTTTATCACATATGTATAGATCAGTGAATGGTGGATTGTTTCCTGTTGTTTGAGTTTCATAATAATGTGTCATCCTAAAAAACTAAGTCATAGATGGGTTAAAAGGAATTTTTATTTTTTTATCATACTATAGTCAAAGGAGGGTTAGTATTCACAATATATTCAAGAACTTCTATAGTTCAGTAAGAAAAAAATCAAACCATTTAGTAGGAAAAAAGGCCAAAGATACAAATATAATTCACAGGAGACACAAATAGCCGAAACATGATAATTTCCCTGGTAACGTGAGGTAAATGCACATTAAAACTAGGGACTATTATTTCATACCCACTGGATTGTTAAAAATTTAAAGAATATAGGCAAATATGTGACATAATAGGAAGAGAATTCTGATACACTGCTGATAAAAGAGCAAGGAGGGAAATGGTTGCTGCAACCATGTTAAAGAATCATTTGGTAAAAACAAAGTTCAAAATACAATTCTACTCCTAACTCAGTACCTTAGAGAGACCTTACATGCGTACATGAGAAGACATGTAGGAAGATTTTTTTTTTTTTAGTAGATTCCACGCCCATTGTGGAGCCCAATACAGGACTTGAACTCACGACCCTGAGATCAAGACCTGAGCTGAGATCAAGAGTTGGCTGCTTAACTGACTGAGCCACCCAGGCGCCCTAAGATGTTTCTTACAGTATTTTGTAATGGTGAAATTTGGTAACAATCCCTAACTGTCCATAATTAGGCACATTTAAGTTACGGTGTGATTCTGTAATGGGCCATTATACAGCCATGAAACTAGAGCAAGTGTCAGTGAGATTGAATCTCATAAATGTACAATAGAGTTAAAACAGTTCTTTTCTTAAAAACAAATGTAGTATGATTCTATTTATGTAAAGTTTAAAAGCATGTATTCTAGTATAAAATACTGTTTATGGATACAGACATTTGTGGTAAAAGTTTAAAGAAATGCAAGAGCTGTATGCTTGAAATCTAAGAAATACACTTCTAAATAAATAACAAATGTTCAAAAAAAATTGTAATGGAAACTAGAAAACACTTTGAATTGAATGTTCACGAGAATCCTACGTATATTGAAATTTGTAGGCTGCCACTAAAGAGTACCCTGGGGGAAATTGGTAGTTTTCAATGCTTACATTAGAAAAGAAGAACTACAAATTAATTAGCTAGGTATACACCTCAAGAAGTCACCCCGAAGACAGGAAATATTAAGAACTATTGAATATTAAATATTTGATGAAATAGAGAACATACCTTAGATTCCCATTATAATTTACAAACCTCTGATGAGATTATCAGGAAAGAAAAAATAAAGGGGAAAACACAAATAACAAAAATAGAAAACACAAATATCAAAAATAGAAAAGGGGCTATGCCAATCAGTATTTCTGATTCACTCTCACTGGCCCTAGGGATTTTAAACCTTCAGAGGGTCCACTAACATAGTGTTCAGGCTTCCTGTATCCATAGAGGAAGGGCCCACTGGGCTTCTAGTTTTGGGTAGAAGGATTGGGGAAGAGGGTCCCCAGTCCCCCACCCCCATCTCAGTTATTAGACAGTAGGGTATGGGCCACGCTCTCTTCTCAGGCAGGAAAAGGGTTTCTGGTTCAGTTTAGAGGATGTGACTGTACCTATCAATAAGGAGGTGGGCAGGACCAGACGACTTCATAAGGAAGTTCTTCAGATTTCAGGTAATAGGTAATTCTATTCAAACTCTTCCATAAAATGGGAAAAGAAGGAAATCTTGCAGATTATTATTTGTTAGTATAACACTATTATAAAACTTGATACATAGTAATGGACAAAAGATAACTAGAAAATTATGGCCCTGTCTCCTTTATTAATATTTATCATTGGTTAATAATTAATGGCAAATAGATGTGCATTCAGGTACTCCTAAAACATTAGCAAATATATTCAGGAGTAAATTTTTAAAATTATAAACCATGGCTAAATTGGCTT